GTTTTTTTTTTTTTTACAAATTTTTTCTTTCAAATTTCAGTTTTTTTTAGACTAAGATTAATAAATAGCATTTTAAGGATCCCATTCTATTCACTGTAAGTTCAATACAAACACTTCTGGAGCACATATTTTAAAAGGCAAATATAAAAGGAAACCCCGCCCCCAGGAAGGAAGTGAATCTGATCAAATTGATCTGCAATTTGAAAAGAATACGATGCTTAAAACTTACTGTGAAAAAAAGAAATCTGAAATTAATAACTCTTCGAAAACAGCAAGTTGCTCTCAAAACCTTATTTTTTTTATTTCCATTCTTTGCAACAATTATGGGAGAGAATTCCCCCCATACGTGGACTGTTAGGCGAAGGGTTTGTAAACAATGAACCAACACGGGTTTAGTGAACGTTTTCTGCTCAGTGGAAGTCTGCTCCTGTAATCCTGCTCTGCTCTGTCTCTCTCTGCGTTCCAGGAAAGCTGAAATCGATGCCATCATGGCGAATCTAGAGAAAGCAAACCAGGTGAGTTCAGACTCTCTGTGTACATTTCTCTGATTGAGAAGCTGCTTCATTAAGGTAATCACTCCTGTAATCAAGCCCTGGCTTTAATTAGACACACTCTGTCCCCGTCCCCCCCATCGCTCTCCCTCCCCTCCCCTGAATGCGTGATTAGTGAGTGTAAACCGGAGCCCCTGTTGGTGGGCGCAGCAGAGAGACCAGGGCGATTGATGCCACACAGCTCAACACTGGGGTTCTTGGTTATCTCATTCCCTTGATTGCTTCCCATCCCGGTGATACTTCCTTGTCCCCCCCCCTTCTCTTTCTCTCTCTCTCTGCCAGCCAGCAGCTCCCAGATAAATGTTCTCAAAATGAATCATTAATTAGCAGGCCGGGTGTGACAGAGCAGGTAAACAGTTTGGGGAATAAAGTGGGCTGACTAAACAGCCCCCTCAGCAGAATCAACCGGCGGCTGCTCTGGCCCCGCTGCTCTGATTTATGTGTGTGCGCTCGCCTTGATCGCGTCATTAGCCGATTGATGTGGCAGGCGTGTAAAAAACAAAACAAAAAAAAAACAGCGGTACGTTTCTGTGCACAGAGAGCAGAAATGGCTCAGAGGGACGTAGAGCGGCTAAAGGAGCAGCTAGCCAGTGGGGCGACTGCAACGTCAGGAAGCTGCCAGCCAGCAGAGGGCGCCGTCTGGGTAAGAACCATCCCAGCCATGATGCTGCGACTTTTTAGACAGACTTGGCTGGAGGTTAATTCACTGCTTGAAAAATCCAGATTCTTAGAATAATGAAAACGTTCCCACATTCATCTTAATAAAAATATGAATCTGTTCCTTTAGGAGAGTTTTTAATTTATGCTTTTTATATTTTAATATCATTAAAATTGTGAGACACACAGCCTTACTTTGCTGTATCCAGGGGCGGATTTAGAAAATATTTGGGGCCATGGGAAAAAAGACAGGCAGGGGGCCCTCTGAATTGCGCAGACAACTCATAAAACAGACCCGTTATACAGATAGAGAAATGTTAATAGAATGTTCTAGGTTGTGT